TACGACCAAATAATAGATAAATTTGCAAACTTAAAATATACTCGTAGACGTATAGTATTTTATATTTTTTAATACTTAGGTAGGGGTAGACTTTTTAGTTTTATTTTTTGATTAATTTATTTATTTTGAACTTTTTTAAGACTATATTTTTAACTAGTCCTTGATGTAATATTTTGTTTGTTTTGTTTTTTAGAGTTTATTTTTTATTTATAATGGTTTAGTAGGGCTATCGGCTCCATTTTAAAAAGGTCAACGCGTCGATATATAATACCTCCTGGGTGACGTGGAAATTTATTCGTATTTAGACAAAATTAACCTTATGTAGCCTCACCCTCCTGTACACCCACGAGCCGCCACTGCCTAAAATATTTTAGCGTTTAAAAAAAAATATAGTTGCAAAGTTCAGTTTATATAACTGTTGGATTTAAAATATACTAGCAAATATAACTAATGCAATAAATGATTTGTTTTAATCTTCTATATAATATATATTATATTCTATATATTCTTTTTAATTCTTATATTTATGGCATTTTGATTTCTGGAAACCCTAATTGAAGATAATCTATAAATAAATGTTGGATTCATTCGTAATTCTTGACTTATTATGTTATAACATCCTGGCGTTATGCGCTATCTTCAAGGTCATCGAAGCCTTTTAAAACTGTATACAAAACGATACAGCGCGCTGTAGGGTTCTCAAAAACTGTCTAAGAATTGTAAAAAAAATTGTAGGTAATAACAAACTCTTATGCGTAGATTCCAATTATGCAATTAAAAAAATATGTACTAACCCCTTTACCAGAAGTCATTGATGTTTATTAGTTTTATCTATAATATAATACCTATCACTGTTTCTTAGAAAATATTTAGATACGTACGTAGGTATCATTTTTATTAATCTACGAAAAAACGTATCTTAACCGTAAATCTTCATAATTGTCGTTACTGGTCAGATGCAAATCCAAGAGTTTTCTACAAAGTCCATATTCAAATTTCTTAAAAACTGAATGTCTGAGCAGGTATTTTTGGAGATCGTCTGGTTGGATCCATTTTTCTTTATGGTAACCTGATAGGAGAAACGTTATTGGAATTACTAAAAGATGTAGTTCATCCCTTACTGGTTGATATTGTTGAAAATGATAACAGTTACTTGGAAGACCATTTAATGTTTAAACAAGATAAAGAACCTTCACACTATTCACTGCCGTTTAAAAAGTTTTTGGACCGAGTATTTCCTGGAAAATGGCCAGATCTCCAGATTTGACTCCCCTTGACTTTTTCCTAAGCGGTCATTTAAAAAATAAAATTTACGCTACAGAGCCTGGTCTCTACAAGAGTTGCGACAACGTATCGTGGATTAAGGCCCTCAAATAACTCTCCATACACTTCAAAATGTTAGAAGGCGTTTTGAACAAAATTTGTATTTTTGAAAGGTGGTGGCAGACATTTTAAATATATTAATAAACTTTGTTCTACTATTCTTATTGTTTTTCTGCCAAACATTCGTTATCTGTACTTTTTTATTTAAATTATTTATTGCATGAGGGAATAAAGAAATACAATAAGTTACCAGAAAAAATAAAGAAACATAAAACCAAAGATTTTAAAAAATCATTAAATAATTTGTAATCCATCTCAGATACGGAATTAATTTATTTTTATTTGTAAAAAGAATAGTATTTGTATACATGCAAGTGCAGATTACTTATATATACAATTATTTATATTATTTATATTAAAGGGGGCACATTATGATGTATTTTTTTAAATAAAAAAATGCACTGTTGCAATTTTAAAATCAAATATCTCGAAAACAAATCGATAGAATTTGAATTTTTATTCCTGATACTCAGGGCCGGTTTATCAATCTCTGGTAAAGCTTCAATTAGTCTACCTGGGAGGTAAATTCCATATCCATGAAAATTATCTGCCAAATAACTAACTGCCACCTTAACACGACATTGATAAATCTGCCCTCAGTGGAGCAAAGCCTTGCACTTGCACTTGCCCTAACATGCCTATTACAATTTTAGGGGTTAAGACAACTACGTGAAGGGGTGATTTGCCAGTGATATCTATTGCAGAATATGTCCCCTTCAAAACTGAAGTTGACGTATCTTTTGCTACCCAAAAGCTGCGTGATTCTTAAGCATGCTCCCTTTCATTTCCTTTCATAATCTGAACGTTTTCATAATACATAATATTTTACACCAATTGATATTTCTTAACCAAACCCCCACTAAAAAAATAATTTTTTGTTCTCCTTTAATGGTATTAGTAAACTAGTAAACTTTCTGTTCCAACCTTACTTTTTAAAATGATTTAAATTTATACCAATTTTAAAAGTTTCTGTGTCTACCTTTTTTTAAATAACAATTTTTAATTGTAAACTTAATACGATATATTGCTGTTGAAAAGATAGTAAATTAAAAATTTAAATCTATTTATCGACTACACCAAACGTGGCCGACCGCAAACCTGTCTAGGAATGTGTGGCTGAAAATGTGTGGATAACTTCACACAACAGTATTGGTACCAGTGATGGGCAAGTACCCGGTATATTGATATTGGGTAAAGATATGTATCCAATGGGTAAATTCAGGGTATATACCGGTTTATGATAAATACTTGCTACTTTGTTAATTTAAGGTAGTTTAACAAATTGTAGTTAAATTAATAATAAAAAGTAATTAAATAAATCAAAATAAAACGAAAAATAATGTTAAAAAAGACATGTTAATTGAAACAAAATAAATACAAAAAAGTAAAACAAAACAAAAATATTTTTTATAAATTTTAATGCCTAATGAATTATTTTTAAAAAATATTTGTATACAAATTATACCTATGTAATTTTCTCCTGGGTATATCCTCAGGATTATTTTTGCACATTATTTTTTTTGAAAATAAGAAATTTGGTAATGACCCAGCAAAAAAGAAATACCCTGTATAAATAAAAATACCTACTATTAATATAATATTAACATTTTATGGGTTTTTGAACTTTTGTTACCTACATTTTTTTTTCGATTCGACTAGTTTTTAAGATAAGTCATCTTACGTAGACCACTCTGTATATTTACTATTTTAGTTATAAGTAATTAATTTTCACACTTTCCAAGCAGCGCCCTAAAGCACAAAAATTGTCACAAACACAAGAAACGAGTGGGAAGAATTAACACATTTGTATAACATTTTGTATATTTGGGCTTAATTTAAATATTCCGATAATATTTATTAACAAAAAAGTAATAGTAGACTCTTCGTTTACACTTAGGTTTACAGTGAATCTAATACGACTCGCTATTTGAGGTATCTTTGATTTTTTAGTGTTAGCTCTTTACTATTACCTACAGTAGCGACACAAACAGTTGAACAACCACAACTTAACCTCACAACTCGTGTCTAATGGAATATTTCGAGAAATAATATTCTATCTCGAAGCAGATTTAGGGAAATACCCTAATTTTATAATAGAATTCCTTGACAAGTCGACAATAACCGAATGGTAAATACCTGGTATATATCCGATATACCCACATACCCATCCTGTCTGTATATACAAGGTATATGCCCAAATTTTATTTACCTACCCATTGGGTATTTATTTACCCACCGCCCATCACTGATTGGTACCTTATTATTCAACATTAAATTTTTCATTTCATACTTATTTTCTTTAATATACAGTGTTATTGAATTGCCAATTTTAGATATAAAATGTAGATAAGTTGAACTCATTGAGTTCACAATCAATAGAATATAATTAAAAACTAGAAATAGGGTCCTAGTCATCAATTAGGGCGTATGGAAACAATGGTGGGCGATGATAACGTCATTAGCGAGTGCCAAAGCGAAACACCATATTATTATTGTGTTGAACACATGCGAAGGAAATATTAGCGGTGGTCGTTTGTCACGGAAAGTCCATTCTACCTTAATTTAGCATTTTATTAATTATGCACCGAGGGCATCATTATTTGCCAGCGTTTGTTATAACGTGAAACATTATGAACAACTGACAAGAACTAACGTGGTTATTCTAGTATTTAATTAGATACTTTATGTAAGTTGTGTAAAGTTATTTAGGTTAAGTAGAGTATAGTTAAGTACCCCTATCCACTTTGCGTTTAAAATTTAATTCTTAGAAAACAATAAGTAAATGATATGATATTTTTTAAGTATGATAAATTTGAATTTGAATTTTACCATCTCCATAGGGAAAGTATATGCAAAACACTCACAATTGGACAGGCAGGATTTTTTTACATTTAAATTTAATAAAAAAGGTTGTGAAAGAAGCGTACTAGACCTAATTAATTGAATATTACTTTAATTACCCAAGTACGGTGGATTTATTTAGATTTGATAGGATTTTATCAATGCCGCATGCGGGCAATAAAAAACCATTTACTTACTCTCTAAAAATGAAATAGTCAAAATTTTACTATTTGAATTAGTACCAGCATTTTTTACTAATAAAATAGTCGTTTTCACTTTTAAATAGTTATTTTTCACTAGGTAAATAGTTAAAGTTTGACTAATTAAAGATTAGTCACTACACAGCAAAAAGTGGTCTATTCCGTTTAAATATTTGATTTTCTCAACGCCATCTATTTAATTCAAACATTTGATATATTTGAGGCAACACAACTTGTTTAAACTAAGAAAGTCAATGCTTTTAAAATAAAAAAATATTTTACTTGATTATTTTACTTGTTTTAAGAACGTATTCTTAAAACGAGAACGGTTAAGTAGGTATTTTTAAAAACACGGTTGGTATAAGAATAGCATTCTTCTTTCAAGAATGAGTTTTCTTAACGTGCACCGAACTAAAACGAACAAAAACGAACCGCATTCTCGGACGCGTTGGAGACGTAGTTACAGCAATAGGTTTTTATATGGTGACAGCTCTTTTTACCGTTTTCTTTGCTAAATATATATTAACAATCACACCAGTGTGTAATAACAATAAGTGTATTTGTGCGTGACTAATGATGGAAGAATTAGAAGAACTCCTAGTAAAATGGGGCTGTGAAAACCTCATTGCGAAATTTCAGGGTATGTATATATATGAGTGCAATTTGTGGCTTAGTTGACCAAGGCAATCTCCATTAAATTTAATAAAAAATAACTGACGTTTTATGGTATTTGTAAACGCAGTATTTATTTAAACTTGGTTGACAAAAGAACAAAATACAAACAATTCAAGACACTTAAAACGTAAGTAAACGCTTTGATGTGCTTCTGCGTAGCCATCTTTTTGATTTCATCGGCGTGCGTCGCCTTGCGGCTCAGGGTTGCTCCGCTGACTCAGCGATATTTACCCAATCGGAATTTAAAAATCCCCTAAATCGAGGGCTTTAGGAAAAAAAACCCAAGTTTTTTTAAATTTTGTTTTTTATATCTATAAAATCACCAAAAACAGGCTTTGTTACGAATAAATCCCCAAACTTAAAAGTGCATAAAAAATAAAATAAAATTTTTTCTTACATATGTGGGTACATAATACGTATACTATAGTAATTAAAAATCAATAGAATCATAAGTTTCTTTTAAATTGTCGATTCGATCTGGTTAGTATAAATTTTTTTAAATTAAACGTTTAGAAACTCCTTTTAAGCTAGATTTATTTAGTTGAAGTATTTGTTTACTTGATTTAAAACATTGGGCATACAAGCGCATTAATTCACTTTGTAAAGCAGTGGTGTGTTTTTTTCTTATTTATGGGCAATAGGGTAATTATATTTTATTATTTTAGAACAAAGCATAAATACAGAAAACATTGTCAAGCTAAACAACGCACTAGTAAAAGAACTCATACCAAATATTGGTGACCGGATTAGATTTCAGGAAAAATTGGACATATACAAGGCAGACCTCGCCAGTGATGTAAGTTTACTTTTCTGAGTAGCACAACAGGTTAAATACCAATAATGTATTTTTAAACTGATTTTTTAACCAAATATATATTATATATACCTATATGGTGTCCCAGAACTCGCGCCACAGAGATATATATATATATATATATATAGAGAAATATATATTATATATTGTATATTATATATTATATATTATATATTATATATTATATATTATATATTATATATTATATATTATATATTATATATTATATATTATATATTATATATTATATATTATATATTATATATTATATATTATATATTATATATTATATATTATATATTATATATTATATATTATATATTATATATTATATATTATATATTATATATTATATATTATATATTATATATTATATATTATATATTATATATTATATATTATATATTATATATTATATATTATATATTATATATTATATATTATGTATTATATATTATGTATTATGTATTATATATTATGTATTATGTATTATATATTATATATTATATATATATAGGGTAAGTCCGGGAAAGGTGGCCATGAAAAAACATTTTTGATAGTAGTTTGGGTATAAATATCATACCGAGAAAAATATGTAGGTACATTGTTAGATTATATCTCGCCTATAAAATTAACCAAAAATAATTTCTTTACAAGTCAACGTGTTACGAATATTTAGCAAAATTTAGAATAATAACAATTGGCCATCTCTCCCACATACCATGGGGGAGATGGCCACATCACATATCACCATATATGGGATAGTTGGCCATAGTAAGAAATGTAGTTTTTTTTAAAGAATCAATATAATATGCCTTAAAAATAGTGGTACCTAACATTTTATTTGGTACAAAGTTTTAAAAATAAAGTAAATATATTTACTTAAATCATAGGAATTTTATTAACAAACTAAATGTGGATTACAAAATTTGTACTTGGGTAGTAAGCTTAGAATAAAAGATGAAATTGAAAGATCCTACTTTATTTTTAGCAAACAGTTGAGCCTATTGAAGCTTCCAGTGCCCAATTATTAAACGAGCCTATAATTTTGACTTTTGTAAATAGTTCTGAAGCAAAAAGCTCTAATACTAGCACATGTAGTACTAATACATTAACCCAGTCGGAGATAAATTATCCATTGTACGCGCCGATAGAAGGTATTTTAGAAGCGCCTCAGTTTCCAGATTTCGATTTAAACACTTTGCTACAAACGACTGTATTAGGAAACAGCGTTTTAAAGTATTATTCCACATACAAGACACTAGACCAAACTCATCGTAATAGACTAGTAGATATAATAGTAAAGCATATTTTCAACTTTATTGTGAAATGGTAAGCAAAATATAAATGCGTATTTATCCCTAGTATAGTTACTTTTTTTTCAGTCGACTTCAACACGATCATTATAATATAATAACGGCAAAAATAATTTCTTTATTTCCTGGGGAACACTCCCAAATTTACTATGTACCAGCCATCAAGAAAAAGGAATCTATTTTAAAAAAATCTGTCTTGGCAAAAGGTAAGCTGGTAGATAAAGTCAAGAATTTGTTGTATAAGACTGGTGAGTCCGGTAATCTCAGAAAAAGACACCATGATGATAATGTACATGAAACCACATCAAAACGGCAATGTGTTGAAATTAGTGGTAAGTGTCACAGGTTATACTCCTATGTGCCTTTAAATATTTTTATGATTATTTTAGATGAAGCAAGGCAGTCGGAGCTGTTTTTAAATGTTCGAACTGAACCTTGGGAAGACGTGGTTTTTCACTGGAAAAAGACGTTCTGTATTAGACAGCAGGAAACCTGTGATACTGTCACCAATTTTTTGCAGAAGTGGCCAGTTTTGAATCATTTAAAAGCTGACGTATTGGTAAGATAAATTGATAAATATAATTTTTCTTCTATGATGATAAAATATTCTGTTTCTAGATTAACTTAGATTTTGATAAACTCTACCCTGGCAAATCACTACTGTTGTTTGAAAACTGGGCCAAGTTCTTTGCTACAATTTTGGAAGCTAGAAAAAATGTAGAAGTAAAAGAGCTTGCATTTTTGGAGGAAGATATTTCTGAAGGTATATTTTACATTATAAAATTAAAAAAATTGTTAAAATGTTGTCATTTTAGATAGCATAATTGCTGTACAGTTACATTCGTTACCTTATTTAATTCCCCCCAAGGGCAGAATTACTACAAAAAAAGGAAAAGGAAAAGTTTGGAAGTTTTCCATTCAGGAAGCTGTGGACTCCATTATTATTCATGCAAAGGTAAGTCTTTGGCCCCTCTTTTGGTTTATTTTTTTTGAACATGGTGTTATAAGAAATTTTTTATAGAATGCAGCTGACATTGAACGTTTGGTCAGTCAACAAAAAGCCAAAGCGATCACAAACGATTTGACAGTTCAGCCCTACGTCTTAGTGGTAGGACAATCATTAAAATCTTTAGAAGCCTACTACGTTGTAGTCGATAAAATAAGATATGAAGTACATAGTATGCTAAGTGCATTGGACACATGTTTTAAGATTTTTTTTGTATTTAATGCTAGGTATCCTCCCCAAGCCGAACATATTTGGCATATTATTCAGTGTTGCGTATTTAAGATTAAAACACCCTATGATAAACAGTTTCCATATGTAATGGACATCATAGGAATATTTGAATAAATATTTTCATGTTCAAACCTACATTTATATTTTTAACATTTTGGCAATGGAATGTTGCACTAAATTTTTTAATATTGATCAGTACGTATGTCATTTGGAATACGTGCATAAGGTGACATCATTCACATGTTCAATAAATGATTGTCGCAGATCCTTTCATAAAAGGCACGTATTTAAAGATCATCTTCGAAATAATCATTTAGCCAATAATAAAGACAAACGCAGTTGTATAAAATGTAATAACGTTGATTGTGATAATGAAACAACCCCGATATTAGATACTGTAGATGAAGTAAAAAATGCAGATCTCGAGGATCAAGAGCATTTAAATTTTGATGAATTAAAAACTAAATTTACTAGGTTACTTTTCCAAAACGTACACTCTTTAATTGGTAAATTATACAATGATTTTACATTACCCCGTTCAGTAATACAAAGTATAATTACCTCTTTCAGTTCTTTTTTGTCTGGTGGCATAATAGGAACATTAAGTGATATTTTGGACTTAGTAGAAAATGATGTTTCGGTTACTAAAGATGTGAAAATCCTTTTAGCACAATTAGAAAACGCCTTTCTTCGTGTTAATACGGAATACAAACGTGTATCATTTTTTGAATCCTCTGACAAACTAATTAGGCCTATTCAGCACATTATTGGTGTATCTCAAGACGAAAGTAATAAAAAATCCACAGTGTCTTTGACCTTAAAAAATAGAACAGCATCATTTGTGTCTATAAAAAGACAGCTAGAACTTTTCTTACAAACCCCAAATGTGCTAAAAAGCATTTTAGACTATCAAAAAGAGTTAAGTGGTTGCCGAAGGGAATATTTAACTAATATTATTCAAGGAAACCTATGGAAAAATATTTTAGTACCATTTTCGAAAAAAAAAGTTCTTCCTTTACTTATTTACTTCGACGATTTCGAAGTCGGTAATCCCCTTGGAAGTCATGCAGGCATTTATAAAATCGGTGCTATCTACTACACAATTGCTACCATTCCCCCTCAGTTTGCTAGTCGGTTGGAAAATATTTTCATTGCTCAGTTATTTCATAGCATAGACAGGGCTGAGTTTGGAAATAAGGCAACTTTTGGAAAATTGATTGAAGAACTAAACTACTTGCAAAGCGAAGGAATATTTATTAAATCATACAATGATAAAGTATATTTTCAAGTGGTTCTAATAACAGGAGATAATTTGGGAATTCATTCTTTGTTAGGTTTTCAAGAAAGTTTTAACTCTAATCATTTTTGTCGTTTTTGTCTGGGTGAAAAAGAATTTTTAAAACGTCAGTTAATAGAAGATACAGCATCATTACGCAATAAAACTGACTATGTACAACATGCAAGAAACAATTCATTTGGAATTAAAGAAACCTGTGTTTTTCACGATTTAAAAAATTTCCATGCCTATGAAAACTTGACGTGTGATGTTATGCATGATCTTTACGAGGGGGTTCACCGCTATGATATGGCCCGAATTGTAAAACATCTTATACAGTCTAACTATTTTACTTTGACGTTGTTGAATTCCAGAATTAAATATACTCAGTATGAAATTTCCGAGAAAAATAAGCCACCACTTATAAAGAACGATCATTTACAAAACGGTTGCATCATAATGTCAGCTTCTGAGATGTCCAGCTTTGTGAGAAATTTCAGATTTATAGTTGGAGACCTAGTTCCGGAAGAGGATGAAGTGTGGGATTTTTATTTAAAAGTTTTAGAAATTACTGAAATTCTGAATATGGACGTTATTTCGGAAGATTATATTGTTCTTTTGCAACTTCTAATCTCAGATCATAATAACATTTACCAAAACCTATTTAGGGAAGAGCTTAAACCGAAACATCATTTTTTAGTGCACTATCCGCGCCTAATCAGACAAATAGGGCCTCCTAAAAACATATCTTCAATACGTTTTGAAGCTAAGCATAAGGAACTAAAAACAAGTGCCACAGTTTCTAGAACGCGTAAAAATTTACCACTAACTCTAACTATGTCAGCTCAACTTAAATGCTGTTATCGATATAGTTCCAATATTGGCCTCGAAAATCACATAGATTTTGGACCGATATGTGGAAACGTTAACTTACAAAGACTACAAGTATGGAGTAGAATTATTGAGGATTGTTTTTTTGTTACGTGGTATCAAAAGAACGGCATAAAATATGTTCCTTCATCTATAGTTCTTTACAATGTAGAAGATAATTTGCCTTGTTTTGCCAAAGTAGAGGATATTCTTGTAAGCAAAGATGATATTTCGAATTATTACCTTTTGTGTGAAGTTTTGTATACTAAACAATATAGTTCGCACTTTCACGCCTACGAGGTAGAACATTCTAATAGTACAATACTTCTTAAAAAAGACGAACTAGAGACGATTTTTCCCACAATAATTCACGTAATAAGTAATGGAGTTTTGATGGTAGCATTGCCTAAATGTTAAAATACAAGTAGGTATAATTAATAATATAGGTAGGTTTTATATCGTTAAATAAATGTTTAAACTGAATTAATTGTATTACTTTAATCCCTAAAATTAAGAGTTTCCTACATTTATTATAAACTATTCAATATGCTATTTATAAGAATTACCATGCTTCTTTTAAGAATTACCTATAATTGACTTAAATATATGTATACTTGACTCAAATATATGTATACTTGACTCAAATATATGTATACTTGACTCAAATATATGTATACTTGACTTAAATATATGTATACTATAGTAAACTCGATTTAATAAAAACAACACTTAAAATAAATAATGTTTTAGTTTTAAAACAAAGAAGCCTATTGGGTTATTTTAAGCTCTTAACCCTCATTTTAAAAATATCGTTATATTTCCTACAAGATTTTAAAAGTTTTTATTTAAGAATGATGCTATAAAACTAAGTAAGAGCTACCTTTGGAATGAATATATCTTCAGAGAATATTTTTTTCTTGGTTGGAGAAAATATCAGCTTGCGTATATATAACCTTAGCGTATCTTTGTTTTAAGCCTGTTATATTTAAACCAAATGTACAGTTTTTACTGTAAGTAAATGATATGATATTTTTTAAGTATGATAAATTTGAATTTGAATTTTACCATCTCCATAGGGAAAGTATATGCAAAACACTCACAATTGGACAGGCAGGATTTTTTTACATTTAAATTTAATAAAAAAGGTTGTGAAAGAAGCGTACTAGACCTAATTAATTGAATATTACTTTAATTACCCAAGTACGGTGGATTTATTTAGATTTGATAGGATTTTATCAATGCCGCATGCGGGCAATAAAAAACCATTTACTTACTCTCTAAAAATGAAATAGTCAAAATTTTACTATTTGAATTAGTACCAGCATTTTTTACTAATAAAATAGTCGTTTTCACTTTTAAATAGTTATTTTTCACTAGGTAAATAGTTAAAGTTTGACTAATTAAAGATTAGTCACTATCTTTGACTATTTCTGAGAGTAAAAAGTAACTAATTTTTTTACTCGTTTGTGGCCAACAACAAAGTATTATTTGAATTAAATGCATATACCTAGGCTCCATGGTTAAAGGACCCATAAAAACAAATAAAGATGCAAAAAGTGTAGCTCAAAATAGCAACACAAATAATATAATACATTAGATGCACAACTGTGTATTTGCAGGATAAGTGATTTTAAGAAAAACACGAAAAACCGCTCAGAAGGTCATTTAAGAAAAAAAAAATACAAAAATTGTATAGACGTGCTTTTGCATCATTTCTTATTCAAAAAAGTAATATTTTAAAGTTATATATTATATAACTTTAAAATATTATGAACAATATTTATTGACAAATAAAATTGAATTTTTTTAGAGCGGCTGATGGCCGAATGGGTTATGACAACAGCTTGACAAGCTTGACAAGTGACAGACCTGAGTTCAATCTCCGGCTGGGTTAAAACTTTTTTTAAATTTAAATCTATTAATTTGACTATTTCATTCAGTAGAATTTGACTAATTATTAGTGACTGCTTTTTCGCTAGTCAAATATAACTTTTAATTAGTTATTTTTAAATAATTTATTTTAAGAGAGTACACATGAAATATGTACTTAATTAAAACATGTTAAATATTATTAAGATTTATCTTAAGAAGATGGATATCGATTTCAAAATTGATTGACAGTAATAAAGCATTCCGGGTACCCTCAATAACGATATCTTATCAAGGAATTCAAAAATAATTATAGGATACGTAAAGGCTCAAAGTCAGTTTGTCGATCAATGTTGTTCTTTGCCTATCAAGGCTTGAGATTTTCAGATAGCGGTTTTGACTACATTAAAACCATAGAAATAAACCGTGCTGAACACGTTTATCGTAAAATGGTAGTTAAAATAATGTTCTACGTTTTGCTATTTCTATGGAAGCTTGTTGGAATAATATCAAATCATTGAAGTAGTTGGAATTCAAAAAATCATTGGACTGCAACGATCTTTTTACTATCTAACCGTATTTGCAGTTTAGTTATGCGCTTCTTAGTCTCACGAGTATATTTTTAATAATTTCACCATATGGTTCTCTCGTTAGACATACTGTTTTTTGTTTAATTGGTTTTAGTTTATATGGCAATAGTAAAACGGTTTAACATTCACCACTTGCATTAAAATAATTTCAAAACTAAATAAATCAATTAACAAGAAAATATGTATTATTGGGATTGCTTATTTTTACCAGGGCCGGACTGAGGCCACCAGAAGGTGGTTCGGGCAGTACATTGCGGTAAAAAGGGTAGGGGACTTGCTTTTATAATTAATAGAAGCAAAAACTAAATTAATTTTGTCATTTTATTTCATTTAATTAAAAAAATCAGACAAGTTTAATTGATTAAAAAAAAAAATATTTTAATATAAAATGCACTACCTATATACATATATATTGTAACACAAGAACGTGAATTAATAAACGTAAGAAATAGGATTTAAACGTGACAACATTGCGAGTTGTTGATAGTTAGTTTCTATGGTAACGCTTTTCTCTTTTGACAGTGACAGTTATATATGCAGTATTACTTAAAATCTTGAAATAAGTTGTAAAAATGAAATATTATGTTCTGTGAAAGAAATTAAGTCCACTACAACTTTGAAAACATTATTAAAAAAATATATGGGAACCATAAATAAAGTAACATAAAACATACAGTATGTTGAGTGCGGTGAAAGTCTAAAGAGAAGAGCAGTTTGTCTAATTATTTAAACAAAAAATAACTTATAATAACTACCAATACAATTGTATTTTTTTTATTAATTTACTTTAAAAACGAAATTACGGTATAGCCAATAAATAAATTAAACCAAATATCCCTAGATAATTACGTGTTCATAATTCAGTGTTGCCGAATCTTCTAGGCGAGAATGACAGATTGATAATTTTGGTTGGACACAGTTAACATTATCGTTTATTATTGTAAAACTGTGCGGTAAAGTTAACAAAAATTTGCGAACTTCTACAGCCATACTTGCATTTGAGAAATAAAATCATTAATTTTTCCATGTTACGTTAGAAGATATGCATTAATTAAAGATAAGGGCTGTATAGGAGATGTACTTAATTAGGGAATATCTTATAACATGACAATAACAAATCGATAATTTTTTCCCGTATGCCCGTATACCTGTAGAATTGGCATATAAATGTTCACACATTCACAACACAGTCTTAGCAACTTTAAGGGTTCAAAAGTTCTAGTAAAGGAACTTTAGTTCATCAAAATCTATCAAATCTTATAAAAAAACGTATTAAAGGTAGTACACTATATCTAATGTTTTATAATATTTGAAACAAAGCTATAAGTTATTTTTAACAATTGGTTAAATAGGCTGCTGTTTTCATTAAGAACATTGGAAAATACAAGTTTTAAATAAAAAAATTTAAGTCCATTGCAGTAGTAAAAGCTTTAAAAGTATATATTTAAATATTGTTTGATTCCACGGTCCGTTCCCAGCCCTAACCTGCACAAGCCCTTCAGTT